ATTCACTATTTTAAATTTTGGAGATGACGTCATCCCATTGTCGGTGGGGATGATTAGACAAATTTTGGTTACCGTTTTACGCAGTCTGCATGATATCACAAAATTTGACAACAATCTTCGTTGAGAAAACATAAAAGTAGCCAGTCGCCCGATGGACTCGATTACAGTTGTTCCTAGCTTACGCCCAGGAAGCAAAAATCTGGACGTCAAGTGTAAATAAAGTGTAAATAAAGGTCGATTCACATAACAAAAGCATAACCGTTAACCGTATGTTATTTTATGAACTTTAAATAATATTTACAATGTAAGATTTTGAGGTGGCGTATTCATATTGGTGATGGGCACGATTATAAAAATTTTGGTTAGCGTTTTACCGTCTACACAGTATTCCTAAAAATACATGTAAAATTTACCACCAATTTGCCTCACAAATAAATGGGAGACGGAAACGGGAGACCACTCGAGAAAACACGAAAGTACCAAGTCGACAATTTTTAGAGAGGATGATAAAACTAGTATGTTTTTCTTTTGTAACTATGTGTCTAAATGTGTAAAATTAAAATATGAATACAAAATTAAACAACAAACACAGGAGCATTTCCCACTATATATTTCAAACAAGATTTTTCCGAGCGTAAGCCAAGTCCATCCGGCTACTTTCCTGTTTTTTCCACTTTTCAGAATCCCTAGAATACGAAAAAATAGGTTCCCCGTTCCCGTCAGTTTGTCGTCTGTCTGCCGTCTGTGTCGACTTTCATTGGACAGATAATCTCTGCAACTAGTGAACCGATTGGTATCAAATTTTATACGTGATCGTATCACAAACAAAATTTGTCTAATCATCCATGATGTCTCTTCATAATTTTGTGTAGTAAAGGTTATCTAAATTTTAGAAAATTATATACTCGTGGTTTATAAATCCGCCTTGATTTTCACTAAATTACATTACAATTTTCCTGTGCAATATTTTCCATATGTTTTCTATAGCCGATATCTCGCTCATGCATCAAACACCTAGTGGGTGATTAGGTAAAGTGGCGGATTGTAGGAGGTCTGTGTTTTTTTTTTACATTGTGACTGGTATTATCTATATTTTTTACTTATAGGGAAATTATATGAACAAAAAAGCAAAATAAGTGTGAGAAAGGATACTGCAAACAAAACTCTGGCGTCAACTCTTTATGCAGGTGGCTGGGTGGCTGCAAGTCGTAAATTACTGGAACGCCCAGAAGTGGTCAATGTTGCATTTTGCACAATCTCTAGATCATATGTGTCAACAAACGGTCAGTCGCAAGAGAAATTGTATTCTTGTAATAACCAAATAAAAACAAATACATTTTCCGTTACGTTTAGGCCAGAAAGGGTCCCTTAACTTCACAGCATCACAAGCGTATGCGTATAAATAACCGCCTCTGCACAAGTGCGGAGATGTAAAATATATTTACAGCACACTACCAACGGGAATAGTGGTCTTTCAGCAATATGCGTAGTGCTTAAAATGTTTATGTTTATACATCGGAAGAATGTCACGTGGATATTTGTTTGAAATGACATAGTTGAGTTTTATTAGACATTCCTGTGGAAAGTTTTCCTACGTTCATGTATGTATCATACTTAATTTTTATCTATGACATCCAATCCGTTGGTTGATGTACGAGTATGTAACAATAATAGAAAATTATCAATGCATTATTAAGCTCACGAATACAAGTGGTGGGTCTTAATAATGATCATCAGATAACACTTGCCGAAGTGATAAATACCATCAATAAGACACACACCTGGAAATCACCAGGACCAGACAAAATCCATAATTTTTGGATAAAAAAATTAAATTGTGTACATATTGATTTACTACATCACTTAAATCAGTTCCTTCTTGACCCATCTTCCTTTCCAACATTCTTATGTAATGGTGTAATATACCTAAAACCTAAAGATAACGACACAAAAAATCCATCAAAATACAGACCTATCACATGTTTACCGACAATCTAAAAAATATTAACCCCATGCATTACACAAAAAATCTATTAACACTGTTTTAACTCTGACATCATTAATGAAGAACAGAAAGGATGTATTAAAGGATCCTTTGGTTGCAAAGAACAATTAATCAAAGATTCCATCATCTGTGAACAAGCTAGAAAAGAAAACGGAAACATATATACTGCTTTTATTGATTGTAAGAAAGCTTACGATTCTGTCGCTCATTCCTGGCTATGCAAAATTCTGGAATTATACAAAATTGATACTAAAATCTGCACTTTTCTCAAATGTTCCATGGAATTTTGGAAGACCACCCTCCAAACAACCTTAAATGAACAAACAATTCATTCAGATCCAATAATGATCCGAAGAGGAATTTTTCAAGGCGATTCTCTTAGCCCGTTATGGTTCTGCTTAGCAATAAATCCCCTCTCCGATATCCTGAACAGCTGCAATTATGGGTTCAATATAAGAATTAACAAACAAAGAGAAAACATAATAAGTCACTTGTTGCTTATGGATGACATAAAAATATATGCAAGTACACAAAATCAGTTAACAAACCCATTAAATCTGACTGAACAGTTTTCCGGTGATATTGGTATGTGTTTTGGTATTGAGAAATGTAAGACCCAAGCAATAAGAAAAGGCGTCCAACACCAAGAACCACATATAACCCAGAATAACGAAATAATCCAAGCCCAAGAACGAAATAATACATACAAATATCTGGGTTTCTGTCAATCCTCCCACATCAATCATACCAAAACGAAAACACAGTTGAAAGATCAATACCTAGCGAGATTAAAATTAATATTGAAGACACAGTTAAATGGAAAAAATTTAATGAAAGCAGTAAATACATTCTGCCTTCCACTGCTAACATATTCTTTTGGAGTCATTAAATGGTTCAAAACTGATCTTGAAAATTTAAACATCGCAACAAGGAACATCTTCACACAGTATAGAAGGCATCATCCAAAATCGTCCATTGAAAGATTCTCATTACCAAGACAGAATGGAGGTAGGGGTTTCCAGAATATAGGAAACTTATATCAGAGACAAATCTCAGATCTGAAGAAGTATTTCTTAAAACGAGCAGAAAGAAATGAAATGTTTCGCACCATCACAAGGGCAGATTTGAATCACACACCCTTAAATCTGTCGAACACCGAAACCCCCCCCCCCACCCGATAGACAAAATAATAAGTGGGCTAAAACAAAAACAACTACATGGAAAATTCTACAAAGACTTAAAAAAACTCATGTCAACAAGAAGATGTCATTGATTTGGTTCAAAAAATCAAGTTTGTATGCCGAAACAGAAGGATTTGTGTTTGCTATTCAAGACCAAGTAATCAATACCAAGAATTACAGATAATACATCATCAAAGATCCGAATATCAGAAACGACTGCTTTTATCAAAAATCACACGAACGAAGCCATTCTCATTGACATTGCTATTCCTAACACAAACAACATTATTCAAACATACCACACCAAGATTTCAAAATATCTACAATTATCGATAGAAATGAAATCCATGTTGAATCTTAAAAAATTTCAGTTCTACCCTTAGTTATCTCTAATGTAGGTGTAGTCCCAAATAGCTTAGTTGAGAATTTAAAGACTTTGCATTTGAGTGATTCAATAATTGTCAAAATTCAAAAAGCTGTTTTGTTAGGATCATGTCATGTTGTTCGTAAGTTTCTCGAACAGTCTGATCATGTTAGTTAGATTAGATTAGCACCAGTAGATCAGAGTAGTGTAGGTCACTTTCCAAGTGATGTGCGGATAAATGATCGGTAGTTACGCTAGACTTTTGGGGATGGGGTGAGATTAGAGAATAATGGCAGACTAATTTGTATGCTGTAATTCTAGAATCTCGAAAGTCGTTTTGTTAATTCAATCAAGTTCCCGTAATGATAGAAGTCTTGCCTGAATGCCGGTCATTTCCGGCATATATCATAATATTTTATGAAATTCAAGCTATATTTATTGGAGAAAATTTTGAGGGGACGTTATCGATCACGTTGTAGGTGGAGATGATTAGACAAATTTTGGTTAACGTTTTACCATCTACATGATATTGCTAGTATAAATACAAAATTCGACAATAAATAGTCGGCCCAATACTTTTAGAGATTTTCTGTCTAATAAAAACCCGGACAGACGACAGACAGACGGACAGACAGACACACGCACAGACAGACAGAGAGACAGACGGACACCGGAGACCTATTTCTTGGTCCTCTAGGAGTCATGGACGGTCGAGAAAACGTAAAAGTACTTCCTTCGTTTACATTTTAACTATTAGTTTGTATTATCCTTTTAAGCAAACTTCTATAAATAGTTGTATTGCGTGTAATCCTTTCACGTTTTAAGGCAGTAACAGAAATTTCTGTAATTTAAATCATCATAAAAGAAGCTGCATGTGGTTCAACTTCCTCAATTCCATTCCCTTCTTTTATTGGACGTCTTTTTCCACCTGCAGCATTCGTTTAATTACCCCAATTTCCATTGCAGAAGGCAATTACGGCAACGATAAATTAGTCTTAATTACTGTTTTAACCAACGATTCGCTCGCTACTGCATCATCCTGAATACGCGAAATTATGAAATTAGGATCGAAGGTAACTATTACCAATTAGAACAGCACGTGTTGTGTATAGAATTTTGGAGAGCACACGTCCCGGCTACTTGGCGTCAGGTGTCTTAATGGCTCATTCTAAATTTAGCGCGATGATATTGTTGTTATAATTTTGTTTACTACACGAAGGTGCTTTTGAGGGCTAATATAGCAGCTATAAACTGAACATATGAAGGATTAACCTTCAAGCTGAGTGGAAGGCTGGATTCAGCAATATCGTGTGCGTAAATACCTATGTAAATCTGAAATTAATTGCTTCGCATAATGGAAACTGTGTGGCGTTGCCGTAAATAGCTGTAGCCGTTTTAGTATTTTAGAAAAACGACAGGAAAGTGTGCTAATTTGATTTTTTTTTTTCAGAAATATGTTCCTTCTTTGGACGGCGTGGGCATTTGTCTTATCAATCTAGCCGACGACATGCAGGAATATATGCGAGGAATTTTCCTAATTATGTAAGTTGTGCACAAAAAAGAACGTATATCATACTCTAAATCTGCATCGTTGGTAAGAAATTTGTCGGCGTAAAATAGATTTGAATAATTCCAGAAATTCCCGGAAACGTTATCTAGCAAAGAACTGGATTTGTTGAAATATTTATGAACAAATCATAGGCACGGTGACATACCTCCACATCGAAAATGGTTTCGTCGAAATTGCGTCATTCAACACAAGCCGGTGTCGTGTCATAATGTACAAAACATCTTACGCCTGTTTGAAATTAATTTATGTCTGCGATCGTCTAATTACGTAGTTTTAGACGCAAAAAGCGCTTATTAAAGTAAATTCAATATGTATTGGAATTTCAGAGTTCGGGCTCCTTTGTTCCAGATTCGGCTTTAAAAATTAGAAAATAATTGCTCGAGTCTGCTGCAAACTCTATTGTTGCGTTTGCTGAAGTCGAGAATTCTGAAAAGGTCGAATTACTGAGTATTATTTATTTTAGTGTGTGGATGAAAAAATTGTTTCCTGAATTGAAAAATGTTTTGATCCAGATAAACAACTATCAATCTGAAAATATTTCTTGATGAATTTTTGTTACAGGGCGTATTAAATGAATATTCATTGAAGGGAGATTTTTGTTGTCTGTTGCCTGAAGATTAGTTCTGTTCTATTTTTTACATGAGCTTTCTGTTGATTTTCAATGTGATTTGAGATTGGTTGTTTAAAGTTAGTAAAGTTCTAACAGCAGGATTCCGTAAAATTTTTACCAAGAATTTTTATCGAAAATAGGAGTCCTACTCTAAAAATAATTTTTTTCACGTTTTCTGAAGGATCAGTAACAAGGGGAGTAACATTTTGCCTGTCTAGTTAGCTATATCATGCTAACCTCGAGTCCCTATGTAGTTTTTTTTTTTTTACTTTGAGTGTATTCTAAGCTCAATATTTTTGCATACTAATAAATTTTTTCCAAAGTTGATGTTTTCGGGTCAAATAGAAAGAAAATATCAATCCAAAAATTACAGGCAACACTAACTCTATGTAATATTATTCACTGGCCAATAGTACGTACACATACAGGGTGAGTTACTAAACGCACGTTCCTTGGTATCTTAATAATTACACAAGCCTGCAAAATTTAAACGTTCAAAATTTGTTTTTGTTTTAACAATTAGTACTTTGCAGATTTGTCGTATTCTTAATTCCTTCATTTGTTGCTATTACGTAAGGTTTATTTGGGAAAAAACACGAAAAGCTAGAATTTAAGAAATACACAATATTAAAGAAAAATTTTATATTTATGTTGTATATGCATTTTTTATATTATTAAGAAAAATACTTGTATCCATTTATTAAAAATCTTTGTGAAATCGTTGTCGTTTCTTTTTAAAAGTTATGTTTATGTTTAATCTTTTTGTCTTGACTTTCCGTGACGCTCATCATTAACTGGACGCTGTTTCTTCATTTTTGGCATTTTTTGTCAGGTTGGCAACATATTTAAAATTTTATGATGGCATGCTTGATTGTCAAATTGACATTTTTGACAACAAGTCAGTAGCTGCCATTGTCTCAACTAACCAATACGTTTGTTAGGTGTGCTGATCTCAAAATGGACAACTGTGAACTGACAAATAATTCAGAATTTCCAACACAAATAATATTAGCTACGGTCATTAATAGTCATCTGGTGTTATTTTATTTTAAACCGCTGAAAGCCTACTAACATATTTTTTTGCAAGACGGTAACATATATGGGATTTTTGGTTTAATTAATTAATTTTGTTTTTTTGAAAAACTGCACGTGATGGAATTTTTACGGTAATTGGCATTCGAAAATCTTCAGATTCATCGCAGGCCCATGTTATTATTAGAAATAGAAAAGAAATCTAGGACCAAAGAATATATTTAGTTGAGAACTATTTACCAAAATTATTTACAACTATACAGAGTGTTCTGTTTTTAAGGCGTAACACACAACTCAGTTTCCTCAAATACAATATCCTATATATTTTTACATATTCTGATTGACCCCTTCTTGAGCTTTATAACCATGGTTTATTTTGGGAGTCCCATGCGACGTTGCCAATTAATTCCACTTTTCTTGGATTTTTTTAGCATGAAAGGATTCACAAAAAATCACAATAGGGTTATTTTTAACACTTAGGTTACAATATTTTTTGGAAAAATAAAATAAACATATGCACTTTATTGTGATAAAAAAAATACGTTTTAATTTACAGAGTGGTTTATAAAAAAAAAATTATTTTATTTTTACTGCATCTTATTTGGCTATTTGATGTAAAGAATTTTCTATATTTAAAGTTAATAGTTACTGAAATTTTATACAAAAAGTATTTAGAGTAATAAAATACAGAAGATTGTAGAGTAATTTTTTTTAAACACTCTGTGTATTAAAATTCTATTTGGTTGACACCATAATAAAGAACGTACCTCAAGTTATCTATCCATAAAATGCTGCAACATAGATTTCAAAAATATGGTTACTGCGAATTTTTTTGTGAACTCTTGCATTGCTACAAAAATTCAAAAAATTATAACAAGGTGGCAACATCGCAACAGAATTTCAAAAATAAATTAATTAAATAATTAATTTAAGAAAACTAAGTTGTATTCTATGTCTCGAAAACAAAACACTGTATAGTCAAAAATAATTTTTATGTAGGCTAGTTAAAGAGTTAACTCTAGTCTCTGACGTTTTTTTTTTTTTTGAATTAATTAATGAGATATCGAAGACAGCGCGATTAATGATTCACCCTATATATTATACAATGTAAAAAAAATAGAGTAACAGTAACACAAGTAGAAGAATATTGATTTATTTATTAAGTTTACCAAGGAGATTGTTCCAGCATTTTCGACCAAAATTACGCTAACAGCTTATAAACTTGTGCAAAAATACTGTGCAAAAAGTGCAGCAAATTTACGTATTCATTCTGTTGTAAAAAAAGTCTTCTAAAAATTTTTTTAGTAAACTTTTCTGGAGATAAGCTTATAGAAAAATGGAAAAAAAAAATAGTTTTGACTTTCAGTTCTACAGAATGTTCTATTTTTGAGAAGTAAATCACAGCTTTGCCAAATAAAGCACCGAATATGACTTTTATTGGATTATTCTTAGCTCATATGGAAATTCCTACGTTGCCAATATTTCAGTTTTTCTCAAATAGAACACTCGGTACCATTCCATTTTGAATCGCTGAAAACCTGATAACTTATGTTTTTGCAAGACGATAACATATATCAAATTTCTAGTTTTGATTTTTATCAAAATCATATACAACTATACAGAGTGTTCTATTGTTAAAGCATAACACACAACTCAGTTTTTTCAAATAGAATACCCTATACAGAGTGCTCTGTTTGAAAAAACTTAAAGATCGTTAAGGTAAAATTGTATAGTTTAGTTTTTTTTTTATAAACATTCTATGTATTAAAACTATATTTAAAGGGCGCGCCTTTATTTATCTCTCCAAAAAATTCTGCAACATAGATCTTAAAAATAACGTTAATGCGATTTTTTGTGAACCTTTGCAATGCTACAAAAATTCAAAAAAATTAGAATAACGTGGCAACGTCACAACAGAATTTAAAAAATAACCTATGATTATAAATCCTAGGAAGAGACTAATTACACTGTATATAAAAATATGTAGGGTAATATATTAAAGAAAACTAAGTTGTGCCCTATGCCTCGAAAACAAAACACTATGTATAGTATTGTACAGTCAAAAATAATTTTAATGTAAACTAGTCAAATTGTATACATCACTCTAGTCTCAATAAAAATAAAATTCCAGTACCAGAAGTAGAAGAATAGTTATTGATTTATTAACAATTATATGAAAAAGTCATCTAAAAATTCTTTTAGTAAAGTTTGTGGAGATAAACTTATAGAAAAATATTTCTGTTCTATTTATTATATTTCTGTTCTATTTTTGAAAAGTTTAGTTTTTTCAGATGAAACACCGTATATGTCTTTGATTGGATTCTTCTTAGTTCATTTGGAAATGCTTGATGCTACGTTGCCACGTTATTCTATTTTTTTTTTTGAAATTTTTAGCAATGTAAGGATTCACAAAAACAATCACAATAGGGTTATTTTTAAAACATAGCTTACAATATTTTGTGGAGAGATAAACCAAAGTACGTACTTTACTACGGCATAAATAAAATTGACTCTTAAGTTACAGAGTGTTCATAAAAAAAAATCTAAAATATTACAATTTTCAAATATCGATGTTTCAGGTTTTCCAAACAGAATACTCAGTATTCGATTTCTACTTCTTACTTTGTTTTTTATTCTCTCTCTTTCAATAGTATGTCTTTTAAAAAAGTGAAAATCGCAGAAACTAAAAAAATTCTTAAAATTTTACTTACTATGGTTATCGTCTTCTAAAGTAACGATTTTCATACATTCGATACATTCGGCGTTGCCGAATTAACTTTTACAAAAAGATGTTTTTCTTTTTTGTAATCTACACCGAAAATATTTGTTATTATTTTTTTCATATTTGATATATCTCTGCACAAAATATTTCAAAATAATCTGATTGCGATTTTTTTTGTGAACCCTTGCATTGCTAAAAATTTTCAATAATAATTAAGACATCAAAAAAATTTAGTGGCTCACTCTGTATATAGCTTACTTAGTGGTTTCGAGCAGTTGTACCGGGGTTTTAGAAATGTTGTTAAGACACAACTTAGCGATTCCAGAACATCAACTAAAAAATACTTGCCATTTATGTTCTTCGCAAAATTGATGACGTCATCACGAAAAATAGATTCAAATAATTGGGATTAGAATATGTCGATAAATGAGTTTCTTTGTTGTTTTTTTTTTTAAATAAACAACTGTATAATTTGTTGCAACATTTTTAATTTCAGCTAAAATTCCAATGACAAATAAATGATTAACAAGTATTTTATTATACATTGATGCTCTTTTATAAGAGTCGCTATAATCGATAAAAAAATCCGATCTAGACACAGCTAATTG